GATGTACGGTGAGTGACAGGGGCAGGATGGAGGCAGCAGGCAGGGACTGGGCTTCTGGCCAGAATGGGGTGGCCAGGGCTGAAGCAAAACCTTCTGCCCCAAACCCACACTGGGGCATTGCCCTTGAGCACCCCCCCAGCCCCGAAAGCAGCTTCTCCAGGTTCATCATAGAGCTGGACTGGGGAGGTGGCAGTGACCTGCGTCCCCTCCCTCTGTGCTGGCTCTCCCTCCCGCTCCCTCCTTCTCTCGGCCCTGCTGGACTGACTGGTTTGGTGAAGCTGTCAGGCAGGGAGGGGGTGAGGACAGGGAGCTGGTGCAGGACTGCAGGGCCAGAGGCAGCCCCAACCCTCCTGCTCCTGTGTGCCTCTGCATCGCTCCCCAAACTCTCCCCAACTGGACCCAGTGGTGAGCACCCTATGGCAAGGGTCACTCACCCACCCTGAGCCATCTGCAGCCCGCTCAGTTTTTGGTGACGCTGTTGGCAGCAGCAGGGTTGGTCAGCCCCACTGGGACAATGATTTTGGGGGTGTCTCAGCCTTGTTTCCAGTGTCTCCCAAAACACTTCTGTCTTGGTGACTCTGCAGCTGGGAGAAAGAGGATAAGGATGGGTCACATAGGCAGGAGGTAACACTGACGTGGGGCGCATGGTGCCACCAAAGAGCAGTGGAAGGTGCAATGGTGTCTCTGTCCCTGCCATGGTAGGGGCTCGTCTCTCTTCCCCTCTACCTCCCAGGGTGTCACCCCCCAGGGCTGGTGACCTCAAAGTCAGCAACAGGCTATTACTATCACCCCATGGTGACAACAGGACCAGGGCGAACACCTCTATCCCCAGCCTACAAAATACATCAGGATGCTGCTATCAGGGCAATGGCTCACCCACTGCCAGTGGAGAGGGGCAAAGGGGATGCAGCTTTGTGGAGAGCACTATGCCATTGTCCCTGTCCCCATGCCAGCTCCCTGTGCTACCCTGCTTGCCAGGGCCCCCAACTCACAGCACCAGGACTGGTGAGTGGGGGGTGGGGGGGAGCACAGGGCTTCCCAAGTGGGTGCATTTTTTGGATTTCTCCGGGAATAGCTGAAGTGCCGCCGGGAGCCTGGCCCTGCGTAGCACACCCCAACCGGTTTTTCCAGCCTTTCAGAGACATCTGGCAGCTGCTTAAAGAGGCAGCAGCCCCCTCCAGCCGCCTTTCATCTCCCCCCACCTTCTCCAGCACCTCCCCACTGGGATTCACAGTATCCCTGGCTGGCCATACCAAATTTACCAGGACCCCCAGGGTCACCGGAGGCACAAGCGATGCCAGCATGTGACATAAGGGTGTGCCAGTGCCACTGCTCTCCACCACCACCCCTCTTTTTGGGGGTCCAATGGGATGCCCACGGCCACACCAACCCCTACCCCACTGATGCGGGATTGGCAAAGTAGGTGGGAGCTGGGGGACCAGGACCCAGGACGGGCATACTGGGCCTTGCTACACTCTGCTGCCTGATGGGTTATTTTTAACCCAGCCTGTCCAACTGGTTCATGTGGTGGTGTCAGGGGAGAGGAATTTGAGGAATGTGGTAATTTGGAGGAGGACATGCCCTCTCAGAGGGAATGGCACGGTCCAGATGAATCACAAGGAAAGGGGACAGGGCACGTGGGTACAGGGATGGCTGCAAGGGTGTAGCCTAGGGTGGCCTGGGCATGTTGTGAGGCAGGACGGGTGCAGGAGATGCTGCCCCTGGCTCCTGGGCACTAGGTGCTGGGCTGGCACTGCCCCACTGGGTCCATGAAGGCACCTACATTTCTTTCCCATATTTTTTCCCCCATATTTCTTTCCCGCAAGCAGGGTATGGGAGGGACAAGGTGGGACTCAGGAGAAGGGCATGCAAAGGCAGATGCTGTGGTGCTCAGTGAAGATTTACCCCCAAGCTGGGGCTCAGCACCAGAGTCCCTTCTGCCCGCACCCCTTGTCATCACCTTGCTGTGGGCATCACCTCACCTGGGCACCCTGGAGGACCTGGCCCTTGTTAGGTGCTAATGAGGCCAAGCACCGGCACAGGCTGGGAGGCTGGAGGGATGGGAGCTGTGCTCAGTGCTAGGGTGCCACACTGGCTGTGCAAGGGGTACCCCCATTGCCATCCACCCACCAGCTCCTGCCTGGCGTGGGCACCCCAGGGTGCAGCCATCCCTGCATGGCACCTGGCCCTGTCTGTCCTCATGTGTGTGTGTCCCCAGGAGGGCCCAGTTGCTGTGGGGCTGGGAGGGGGCCAGTTGGAGTGGAAGAGGAGAGGGGAGTGTATTTTTTTTTTAAGGGATTTTTTTAT